GACACGAATAGACACGAGCTTGCCCTTTCAAAAATTGTTTCAATTATAAGTATACTCATGCCAATAATGGTTGTCACCCCCTTCAATTTTTTTAATTGGAGAGGGATGTGGGTAGGGGTGTGAGGTGTGTGGGGGTTGGGGTGGGGAGGGGGCTGACAACCATTATTGGCATGAGTAAATATTAATTTCCCCATCGATGTGATTCAGTTCCTTTTGCTGCTGATCCAGACATCCTAACGAGGGCAACAAGATCTCGTTGACATGTGTGCGTGCGTGCGTGCGTACGTGCATGCGTGAATGCGTGTACTTTAACTTATTTAAGGTTTATAGTGCTTGTCACTTAGATGCCTTACTGCAGTTTTACATGGAAAGCCAACTTTAAATACTGACCTTGATTGCAGTCTTTAAGATTACTTGTTTAAGGTAGACCGCACGGCAAAGTAACAACAAATATCATTTTTAAAACGAATCTAGGTATGGTACGACCTGGGATAGATAGTAATGTCAGCAATGAAGTATAATGTTGTGTGTTTAGTGACCTGAATGTCTGTTTCTTGCACTGTATACATTTCGCTAGTTTAACAATGCCAGACATCATACAAGCGTTGTGATGTTTTGATATTAAGGTGAGGTGAGGTGAAATTGGGTTTAACGTCGTGCTTGAAAATATTTCGCTCATATGACGACGTGCAAGCGTGTGTATGTGTATGTGCAGCTGCTTGTACTAACCCAGACTGAAACTGGTTTTATAGTGCTAGCCCACTGAGATACCATGCCGCAGTGAAGCATGAATACCCCACTCAGACACATTATATGACTCCGAGCCGACCAGTCCTTGTTGTCCCAATTAATGCCGAGCGCCAGGCAGGGACCAACAAGTACCATATTTTAACGTCTTTTGGTATGACGCGGTCGGGGATCGAACCCACGACCTTCTGCTCTCCGGGCGGACGCTCTAACCACTACACCACGGAGGCGGTCTTTGATATTAAGCATCAATTGTAAAGACGACAAGATTCAGGAGTTCACCTTGAGAGGCAAACACTGACAGGATGAGCTCACTGGTCCTTCAGATTTACGTTTTCTGTTTGTTAATACTCCCCAGTATTCCAGCTATATGAAACAGACATGAACATGCTCGAATTTACACCACGCAAACCATTGGTGGATGTTATGAGCACCGATCCACGCTGACGGGTACGATGTCACGTAATCACCGAGCATGTCCACATAATCTATTTAGTCATTTAGTACATGGCACAGGGATCAATTCTAGCCGGGGATCCCATTAAATGTCAGAACGTTGAAAGAAAGTTGTTACAGTTTTGTTTAATCCAGCTGACAGTTGCGTAAGATATGAAATGACATTTTCGAAAGTCTTTCGTCATTTTGATATAGATTTCGTCCCATTACTTATTCAAGTCGTGAAACCAATTCTTATTTTATGAGCGACCGTTCGGTAGCAATCGGTATTTTCAAAAATAAATCAGCCAGGTTGATAATGGTATCTTATCCCCATAGATACAATTGAACAAAATGTCAGACGTATATTTATCAGTCAGAAATGTCATAATTCTTTGCATCAATAACCATGGACCTTGCGTCACATACCACTTTGCTTCAGCAACATTTTCAAGTACATGAAAATATATACTCATGCCAATAATGGTTGTCACCCCCTTCAATTGTTTTAATTGGAGAGGGGGTGTGGGGTGGGTGTGTGAGGTGTGTGTGGGGTTGGGGTGGGGAGGGGGGTGACAACCATTATTGGCATGAGTATATGTCTGTAGGTGCTGTCATGATATCATTACGAGTGGCGTTTTTCAAGTGGTGCTTCTTGGAGAACCTCAGAAGAACGCGACCAAGGTAACTAAAACAGTTAATAAAACACAAGTTACCAAAATCAATTCCCGAAAATGCCCCATACCAATTCAAACTTTAGGAACCAACAGTTTCACATTGGTCAAGTATTAGACTCTCTCCCACAAGTTTGATTCAAAGGCTCAGTCAGGCGTTTCAGTTATTTCATGGTGGCCATATGAAGAATATTGAAAATTTGACGCATCAGTGACAAAGATGTCGTTTGATGAAATTCACTATTTTTTACTTTTACTATCAATTCCAGTGCTCTTTTCAGAACAATGGACTCTGATCGATGTGCATATGTTTGTGGCTTACGCGTATGTCACCAGTTGGTAAAGATATGCTTATCTTTCCCAGAAACATCTGGTGTCATCACTGTTTGATAGTGATTCATAGCAATATTGTCCGAATAGTGCACTCAACTTTGTTTGGGGCTGAGATTTCAAATGAATGTGGGAAAGGGTTCTGTCACCTTCACTGAACGATCGAATTAATACAAATACTATAATGCCAATGGATTTGGATAATATGGTTGTTGCATCACGGCTTGTCATCTTGACTGACGCAAGTCTTCATCATATTTAACTTCAATGAGGTCGGATATGCTGCTGTCAGGAAGAATTTGGGATTACTACCAGCGATCATAGGTTTCAGGGGACGGTGGGGTAGCCTAGTGGTTAAAGCGTTCGCTCGTTACGACGAAGACCCGGGTTCGAATCCCCACATGGGTACAATGTGTGAAGCCCATTTCTGGTGTCCCCCGCCGTGATATTGCTGGATTATTGCTAAAAGCGGCGTTAAACCAAACTCAGTCAGTCATAGGTTTCAGGAACGTCAAAAGGACGCAACTCTGTACAATGCATCTGTACCAGGGCGTGGAATCATCCCACAGATGACGTCCTTACCATGTCAGCATTCTGACGGGGTTAACCTCTTTTGTCATGTGGACAAGACGTCCGTCTTTGGATCAGAGGTCCGTGGTTCGAATCCCACCACGGCACTCGGAAATTCTAGGGCCGCTACACATCAAACGACTCGGGCTTCAGTGTTTCAATTTGTTAAAAAGCGTTTATTCCATTAGAGCGATGTAACAACATATCTCGTCTATCACTAAAACACTCGCATCTCTCAAAGACAGAGGAGCAATTACAGCAACCTGGACATTGTCCGCCATGATAAATGAGGACTTTAATCACATGTCTAGCAAGGGCGAACTAGCTATTTCAGATTACGTTGGATCAATTGTGCATACATGTTCGTGCATGACTAGTATTCATGCAATATGGCATTGTATATATACTATATTTTGTCCTGGGTCAATATGGATTCAATATTTTGTAAAGATAAACGAATGCAATGATTTAGCAGACAGTGGTAATTCCCGATGGAAGTCTGTAGGCATTGACGATAAACTTCACAGTAAGCAAGCATTGTTCTCAAGAAACTAGTTCATTTGTTTGCATTTTTTGTAAACACAAATCACGTAAATCAATAAACTCATATGAAGGTTTCTAGATTGTATCGTTTTATTATTCGATTTGAGGTATAATTATTCATGCACCTGTATTGTCCCATATATTTTTGTTCCATTAAAAGTTCCAGTGATGGATTTTATCAGCAAGTCTTTGAGTTCACCGAAATCTTCCAGACAGCAATTGTTACCGAAGGCCAGTTCTAATCAGGATCCTGACTAAGAAGTATATATAAAATTGATTAATTTTACTTGATTACCTGAATGTCATAACCACTTACACTGGCTTATGAACACAAGATACAAACAACTGGTGATGACAATCTGAGGTTTGCGTCTATATACAAGTATTAATGTCCCAAAATATCGCCAATGTCGATCATCCCGCGGCTATTCTTTCTCACCAGGAATTGGGAGAAATTTACTGAAGGCGATCTTATTCCTTGCTAGTAATGTCTGTTTGATTACCCAGTAGTGTCGTACAGCATTGATCAAAGGGTAGCCAATAATCCAGAGATGAGTTGTAGCGCCTACACTTTCTCTGTGTTTCTAGACTGTAAGATGTGCTGAGACATGGCTTCAGTAGACTTTCATTTTTCCTTTTCATATAGGTTCGAATGGATATCTAATTATGTGTGCTCCTATCTAAACTGAGTACATACTTGCCCAAAACATTGTATTCATCAATGGTGTATATCTTATCGACAATAAAATGCTTTAGATGTTCAATATAGTAGGTTTATTACTGCATAGGAAGTATCTCTTGTGTAAAAGTCTAATTTGGAATTTGCAGCGTCAAGATCTTTCTGAATCCAATAATCAATGGCACGACTGATTGGCACACTGTGAAAATGGTTAAACATTGGAGAACAATGGATATTTGTGCTTCCTTAGTTAAGAACCCTTGAAAACATTTTTTTAAATGAGTTGCTGCTGTTTTCACAGCATGGGGCGTTTCTGGAGAAATGAGTTTACAGAAATGAGGATGACTTGCTATTTATGAATATTCCACCAATATAAAGATTCAAATCTTCTTTTATGGAACTGCCATACTGTTGTTGTCCCCCACAATAACAGGATTTATACATTTCATGTTCTGAGTAGGCAAACAAACATATGCTTCATGGTACATTCAAAATATTTATGTTCACAGACACGTTGGTAATGACATTATCCGCTGGTAGGTTTTACAAGCACATATTCATATTATCCATAAACATACGTTCATACGTTGGTGATGAATGCGCCAAATCACATTCCAGCAAACAATTCATTTCCATATTACATTGTTCGTTTGACAATGCGACATCTCTCCTAAAGAAGGAATCATCACTCTGTTGACCTGTGCATTGTCATGCGTTTGTAGTCGGATTCAATGAATATATTCACTTCAATATTCACTGAATATAGGAATCGATTAGTCGCGTCCACTCCAGTACATTGATTTTAGGAAGAGTATTGTACCCATTTTGGTCTTTCATCACATTAATCTGTGTATTCCTTATTGAGACAGTTTGTTTTATTTCAGAGTACATTTCATGGTTTCTGTTCTTTCTTCCAATAATTCCGTTGTTTTTTCAAAAGTCGTATCCTCAGTGAAAACCATGCATTCCAACTGTGTCTAACCATGCATCTCACATTAAGTGTATGACTATATGTTTTTCAGTGTGTCTGATCTGTGTGCCTATGGCCGTGGGGCAAGCTGTTTACAAAGTGTGGATATATGGAGAATTCATGTGCAAGATAACAACATTCTTACAAGGTAAGTATTTTGTTTATGTTCAAGAAAGAAAAACAAATAACACAACCCATTTACTTCACGTTAACTGTAGGTCTATGTGCCAGTACTCAGATTTCAGTAGCCAAAAGAGCTGAGTATGCATGCCAGGTGATACCTAGAACATTTACAATTTACACCATGATGGTCTGAATATGTTAATCTGGATATGATAATTTGTGTCATTTTAAGAAAAAAATGTTTCTGATAACAGATAAGGAAACTAATTATTTGAATGCAACTGTCGTTCAGATGTACTTTTACAATACCGTGAAGGAAAATCTTAAAACAGCTTCTGATAACAATAGCAATATTTCACATCAACCTAAAACAGCAGGAGATAGTTGTGTACACGGAAAACCAATATCCCAGAGTTTCCCTAACTACAATGTTAGACACAATAAACATAACAGGACACGTTGCACGGATGGGAACGACCTGAGAGTCACAAAACTGTATTTGGCATGACCATCTCGACTAGAGACCCAGCACCTACCAACATCACCAAGCTTGGGCTAGCTCTTCAGGAGGAATGTCCGGCGCCGTGTTATTGCTGGTTTCTTGCACAATCAGCGTAAAACCACATTCACTGACACACACAGGAGTGCCAATAAATACTGCATACTATTCAGTGAGCCTTATTTCATAATGGTCGTTGTTCACAATGGTTGTTTCCAGACAATGACAGGCAACAGACTTCGGAATGACGCAAGATCTGTATGTTTAAGCTGTCAGAACTGGAACTCTCTGGGTACCGTTGGTCCCATACAGGCTTTATGGCTATGTTTGTACTGATGTCTACAATATTTAAGTCAATTCTGAAACAAGGAGAAGCATATAAACTGTCAAGACTTAAATAATAAATATTTTTCTTCAATAAGAGACACAGAGTTTACCAGTTCCTCTGATTCTATGAATGCTGTAGGCGAGTTTTGGTCCGACTGACTGACTGACAGACTGACTGACTAAAAACCTATTCTTGGCTTTTAGAGGAAACGGTTCTACGAGGAAAGTATTCGTATCCTAAGCCTAATGTAGTCGTTTGTAAATAGATCCTTCTAACGCCCTTCGTGCTGATATAGCCACGATTGCCTCACTGTGATGTACGTGAGTCTTTGCGACCATTTACTCTAATGCGGATGCATCGTATGGTTGCTGGATGGTCAAAAGGAGTAAAATCAATCAATATTTCCTCTCAAGGTGTAATCAAGTACCACACTTGATTGTGCAAGACGACTATTTTTATTGATATGCATCTAACTAAATCAGAGAGACCATAACATAAATATAAGTAAAACATGCATTTCGAGGGTGAATCTCCATGTGTTTAATCTACTGTAAGTCCGCATGGTCCCTAGTATGGTGATCTACCTTCAGTTGTTGGCAATATATAGCCTTTTTTGTACAGCATTGTCTTCTATAGTTTTTAGTTTTCCATACTAGTTTTATATCTATATCTGTGATCCTCTAGTTATTTTACTTCGTTCACAAGGTTTTATAATTTGACTTTATTTATTATTCAAATCCTTGTCACGATATGGCTGCAATATTGCCGATGTGACGTTAAATTTAACTCACTCACTCACTCCATGTGTTTAAAGTGACAGTAGGTCTCTTCGGGTGAAGCTTGTAATCAGTCAATCAGCGTTAAGGCTCAGAATTATGGGATCGAGTGAGTGACGCATTCCAGCCAGCACATCTTATCTCGAACTCGAACTGAAACCACAGAACTGAAACGAAGTTCTGAAATTGTTCCAATGCCGTTGAAGATAATTCTAACTACGAGTACTTACCGTTTCTAAACGACGTTGCATCTGCACTCTCCATGAGTCATGTCGAAGGAATATTTGTGTTTCTGATTGTGTTGTTATTTGTACAACATCGAAATATCTGATTTGAGGTGGACAAAAATGAAGAGACATAGTTGGCAGATGATGGGCTCAACGACCCACGCAGACTGAGACTTACACGACTTCATTTGTGTCGTCGGATGTTAATACAGAGGTTCCGTATCGGTGTGATAGATCTGACAGTGTCGAAGTTTAATGAGACAGAAATTGGCCCTTGGGACATTGCAACGTCTTTGCGCGGAATCCAGCGTGATCCCCAGCCAACCCTCCCTCTAACAAGCGTCATTGACAGACATTGTTTTCTTGAAGTACACTTTTGATAAGACTTTAAATTCACAATGGTGAAGGAAACAATTCTTTTAAGAAAAAAACAAACTATTTTCATTAACGAGTCAGGACGCCGAGATGTCGGAATTGTTTGGGTAACGGAATTAAAAATGAAAGGAATTTAAATACGATACCCATCATCCGTCTTGAATTTAATCTACACCAAGGGACATCGATTGAGGTATTTGTATTTCAACCTTTTTCAATTTGAAACATAATTCAAATATCTTTCTGCAATCTTGCAATTCACTTCTGGTGATAGCAGCATATTGCTGTTATCATATTCAAGTTAGTCTGTGCGTTCAGATTCGTCCAATCGTCTGTCAACGACATTACCTATTTCCCATGCTTTCTCTGGGTGGTAAAAAAGAAGAATGATATACTTTACGAAACGTAAGTGACAACACTCTTAATCTGAATTTCAGCGCTGGAAGCATGTGATAACAGGTCCTATAGCATATTGATTATGCATGTTAGTGTGATTTTTGTGCTTCTGTGAGTGGTGTGTGTGTGTGTGCGTGCGTGCGTGCGTGCGTTCGTCTTTTTTGATACATTATGTCAACATCGGCAAGAACACTGAGGCCCGGAAATGGGAGATTCCGACAGCAGTGAGTAGCAGCGTGGCGTCCCTCAACGATGTTATGTATATTTTGCCTGATGTGATGTCTCAGTTTTGTAGCATTACATTAATTTAAATGTGCAACGGCATTATGGAAATTAAGGTATCTTTCTGAACCTTCAAGTAATTGTCACGATGGTTTTGTCAACGGGTAAATTTAACATTTCTCACATATCAAGTTTTCATGTACACGTTACCTCCTACGTGTTGGTGATGTGTGATTAGGCTTGTGTGTTAGTCTGTTAATGTGTGTTGTTCATTGCCAAAGTACCTGGCGATATTAAAGCCAAAGCGCGGAAAATAATCAGCGAACCGCAGTCCCATAAAGCCGTTTGGCGACTTTGACATTTTCTTGTTACTGACCAACTGGATTTAATAGTCAGCTATATTTACCCCCCTGATCCTGGAGATCCTTCAGAGCATGTACGGCTTATCCTCGCTAGATCCAGAAGATGGACAGGAGGGGGAAATTGCTTGTCGTTCGATATACAGTAGTGGAAATCACGGGGAAGTCTATAGATTTTGTCTCAATAGAACCCTTCCTGTAATCCGTCGATTGAAATATTACGGGTTTCTGCTGGACAGATTGTCCGGCACCCCAGTGGTCAAGGAGACTGGACGTGACAAGAGACGTCAGCTGATGGTATCGGTGTTTTCTCTTGACCAGACAACGCACAGCGACCTGCCTGTCAGATGGCCAAAGAATGAGGCTAATAGTCTACGACCCTTCAGGCCTTATCGGACTGAAAAATGATCAACAAAACCAGAATCCATACAACGGTGTATGGTTTCTGACAGAACCAGTGAAACGAAAATGGAAGTGAAATAACAATAAAACCCAAAAGATGGAATTATTTATGATTAATTATTTTTTTAAATTGAAAAGGTTGAAATACAAATACCTTAATCGATGTTCATTGGTTTAAATTAAATCAATTTCACTAGTCACACTGAACACGGAAAAGTCGCATATGTTTATGTAAATGTGTCACTGAGGACAGTCCCGAGGTGAATATCGCGACCAGTTATTTCAGATTAACGTACAGTCCCGTTTCCATATGCTGATTGTATGTAAATATATGTTTATATAGTACACTTTGCAGTAATCCTCTAAGTCGAGCCTGCGCACCCAACGAAAGAAAGTGTCGTTCTTGTCAAGAGGGTAATACTTCGATCTTCGTGTTCGCGTATGTTTCCCTTGTTTTACATGAAATAAAAATATTCATGAATTTCAACAGTCTCCTACTCGTGTAACATACAAACACCACACGCATGCCTATGTTATTGCTGAACAAACACAATCTATCATATCGCACAAAGAGCAATGGCAGACAGAATATACAAGGTCGAACTTACTGCTGTCTGTAAAGCTTGGACCTTGGGTATTCCTTTTCTAGTCCTCCTTGTGTGCTGTGGAGCCACGGGTAACTCGTACCATTGGTAGCTTCCTTCAACTTCGACACATCTGTGTTTGACTGTGCATCAACCACAGCGCATGCACCATGCATATGCATGAAGGAGGTAATGTACATACGTTTGTCATTAATGAACATATCCGTGAAGATTCGGTCTCGAACTGATCTTCAGCAACACGCGGTGGTCACCTTTGGTACGGATGATTGGACTTAGTGTCTTGGCTGATGCATGTCAACGTATCCCGATTACGTAGATCGATCTTCATGTTGTCAATCATTTGATTGTCTGGTCCGGACTTAATTATTTAGATGCCGTTGTGATATTGCTGAGTGGGTGTTAACAGACAGACAGACAGACAGAGAGTTTATTCTCAAAAGAACCCACCAACGGTGGTACATGAGAAAAGTACAATATAAATTCGCATATGATAATATAATCACTCATGATGACAGCAATATAAGGTAAATACATATATATAGTGAAATTTTCAATGAAATATGACAAAGTAAGTTAGCATGATTCTCATGCAGCTGCAACTAGTCTGAAGATGATGTTGATGAATTTAGACAGGTTTTTCACATTTTTTACTCTGGTGCTAGATAAACATTTTTTTTAGCTTGAACATATTAGGCCATTCGTAGAGATCTTTACGTATGTGTATAGACCGCGGCTGGAGAAGGGCTTCACACCTGAACAGGTAGTGGAACTCATCACCAACCGCTGGGGAATTACATAGATGGCACAAACGTTCCACTCTTGGGGTATCAGACCAG